CTGCACACACAGCAGAACCCTAGCCACAACCACCTCCCATCCCCCGCCCCAGCGAAGGCCTTAGCAGCTTCACTGAACTTTGCTCGCTGCACTGCCTCGGACAGCGTTCTTTATTTCTAGCACATAGTGACTTCCCTTTCTTAGCTTCTGGCTCAGCTTCACTCCTCAGTTTTTAACTTGGTTGTATTCGATCCAGCATTTGTCTGTGTTTCTGTGTTTGGAGCAAACAGTCGGGAGGAAGGGGCCTTTCCTCATCAGCTCAGTCTGCCATATTGCCTCAAAGTCCCAAACACAGTCTGCTGAGAGAGGCTTCTGGCACTCGCTGTCACTTCCTGGAAACCCAAGTTGGATTTCAGACATGCCAAGTCGTGAGCTGCAGAAGGAACATGTGAGCAGAGGGCTCTGCGGGGCAGGCGTGGGAACGCGGGTCTAGGGCTCCGGAAGGAGGCCGGGGTGGCTGAGAGCTGAGGAGGCGGCCCCCACTGGGGCACGGAGGTGCTGGCTGAAGCTCTCCAAGCTGGTGACATCCCCCAGGGATGGGAAATGCATTGGGGAGGGTGGGAGCCGGGGTCAGAGCCTCCAAAACACTTTTAAGCCCAGTGGGCAGGAGGAACAAAAGCAGTCAGGGAGGGGCCGGCCAACAGACGGCAGAAAGGGCACCAAGTCAAGTGAAAGAGATTTTTCAAGAAGAGGGTGATGAACAGTGTCCAATGTTGTGACGATGTCAAGGAACACGAGGGTGGCAACGTCAGCAGAATTCATGATTGGGAATTTCTGAGGAATGTCTGGGGAGCGAGCAACTGGAGGGTGCAAATGTTGGTTTCCTCTGCCTTCCATCTCCTCACCCCTCACCCAAGGCTCAGGAAAACCTGAACAGGCAGCCCATGCCTGTCACTGCCTTCTCAACGTCATCGACGGGGCTTACTGGGACACCTCCTGGATGGAAGACTTTAAAATCCAAAATAAAAACACATCTGCCTTCTTCAGACATTTGCAAAGTAGCCATTCTCGGAACTGCAGCTCGATGGCCCTGTGCCTCCAGATGTCTGGGAGAGCCCCCTTCTCAGAAAGCTCCCCTTCCAGGTCACCAGCCTGTAGGCCAGGCCTCCTGACCCATCGGCTGAGATGTCCTCCCAGCCAGAAACTTCAGTTTTCACTTTGCTGTTGCAGATGAGTCAAAATCTCTGGACCAATTCAGTAGGAAAGAGTGAATCACAATAGGAATGTGCACAGAGCAAGCTGTGCATGTGTCTGCGTGCATATGTGTGCGCGTGGGTGTGCATGCATGAGTCTGTATGATGTGTGGCACATGGCTGTAATTACTATGAGTGACTCACCCCTTCTCCAGGAATTCCATACCCCCAGGTCACTCATGAATAAGTCAGCCTTCTCTCAGAACCAGGTTACACCATTTTCCCAGTTGCTCAGACGCAAACCCTAGGAATCATCCTTCCCTTCCTTTCTTTCCCTCATCTCCAACATCCCATCCATCGCAAATCCTGCCCACTCTGTCTTCAGATGCCTCCCCTGTCAGCACACTTTCCTCCGCGTCCACTGCCACTTCCTCCCTCGCAGCCAGCACCGCCTCTCTCCTGGGTTCGGCCCTAACCTCCTAACCAGGTCTCATTTCCCCTGTTGGCCCCTTCCAGAATCCCGCACTCAATTTGTTTTCCACACAGTAGCAACAGTAATTAAAAAAAACAACAACAAAACCAGCTGTAAAGCAGATCACATCAGTTTCCTGGTTAAACCCCTTTCCTACTCTTAGAGTACAACTTAAGCCCCTCCCCCAGGCCACAGGCCCCTCATAACCGGTCCCACTTCCCATCCACAGCGTCTTGTGCCCACCTCCTCCTGGTCCAATGTGCTCCTGCCCCACCGGCCTCTGCGTTTCTTCCCACTGTGGGACCTGGCACTGGCTGCGCCCTTGCCTGGAATGCTAGCACCTTGATCTTAGCACAGCTGGCTCCTTTTGTTACTCAGGGGTCAGACAGGCCTTCCCCAAACACCCACTCATTTCTATCACATCCTCCTGGTGTAGTATTCGGCCTCATTTTGTTCCCATCTGACAGTCCTTTGTTCATTACTTCATGCATTCAACAAACATCGATTACTTCTTGTGCCATCCAGACTCGGCATATGTTTATTCTCCCTCAATCACATGTTTGTCTCCTCTGAATAACATTAAAAAGCTCATGAAGACAGGGGCCTTGAGCAGAGCCTTAGGGCCTGGCATGGAAGGGGAATTCAATAAATATTTGATTCACGGAATGAATACATACACATGGTAATGTGTATATTCAGGAAATCAGAATTGGCTGATACAACATCTAAGGTCTCGTGGCTTTGGGACAGCCAATATTCCAAAGTGGCCCTAGTGCCAGGATATATCAGGTCCTGCCTATGTTTTCCCAGGCCAGCAGAAGGTGACTGCCACCCTGCCTGTGCATCTAGCCAGAGTTTACTAGGGGCCTACCATGTGTAGGCCCATGCTTGGTGTCAAGTCTTGGCTCTGTCCCAGCTCACTCAGTTGCTGGTATTCAGCAGCCAGCCAGACACCAGCCAACAAGCCGTCCTGTCCTACAGCTAATGACCAAGTGGCCCGAATTGGGGGTCACCCGGGGTGCAACCAAGTGGCGGCTCTCCTCCCACACCTGTAACTCACTTCTGTCCAAGTTTCTGAGATGCCCAGGGTTTTGGGGAAGCCCAGGGAGCCAGTCCTGCCCTGTCCCCAGGGCAGTGCACCAGCCTCACTCCTCCAGCCCCACCTCCCAAGCAGCGTGTGCCCACTTCTTCATGCCCTATGCCCGGCCTGATCCCAACAGCAGCTTCCGTCATTGACAAGCCACCTGGCAAACTGGCCAAGAGCATGAGCTATGGGGTCCAGCCAGGCAAGGCTGCATCACATTGGCTCTGGCACCCACTAGCTCTGTGATCTTGGACAGGTCGCTGTACCTCCTGGAGCCTCAGTTTCCTTCTCTGATGGACGACGACCGCAAAGGCAAGAGCCGTGCCCCAGTGTTCCTCTCCTCCCTGCTGTGGGCCCGTGAGGTCTCACCAGTACCAGATCAGAAGACATGCAGGAAGAGCTCTTTTTTGGCAATATTTCTAGAGCTAATCTCATTACCAGTCATCAATAGCAAGAGAAGCATTCAATTTAGCACAATAAACATATACAATTCAAGCAACAAGTGTATACTCAGCTGGACACCAGGATACAGGGAAAAATCAGACCTCATGGTGAAGACAGGCAGGCAGAAGCAGGGGCAGACCTATAAACAAAACTACAGAGCAGGTGTGCTGTGTGCTGGGTAAGGACAGGTGTGGAGAGAGCGTCTAGGGTACGGAGCGGCCCTCAGTTCCCCTGGGCTGGGGCGATTAGGATGAAGGGAAAAGATGATGTGTTTGGCACCCCCATCATTTCCCAAATGCTCTGTGCAAACCAGTGTCCTCGCACTAGCAGGACAGGTGGGTGGGAGGCAGCCTGCAAGACCCCCTATCGCCCCTTACCAACTATAAACCTAGAGGGGTCATTAGGAGTCACAATATCATTGATAATAAGGTCTATGCACCATGAGAGTCCTAATTATTCCTCTGGGCCCACACATAGTTCCCAGCAGTCCAAGAAATAATAACAGCATCTAAATGATGGAAAATTCATCTGAAAAAGAATCTCCAAGCAGCTTTTGAAAAAAGCCTCACAGCTCAGATAGAGTCGGGGAATCACAGGGCTGGCGGCAGCTGCAGAGGCCAGCGGCTCCCAAACTTGCTTTCAACCTCCAAAGTCATTGCTCAACTGAAATTCACCCAGAAGCCCAGTGCGTAGAGCTGATATGAACAGAGCTGCTCTGGTGGAAAGAGCACCCAAGCCGTCTGCCTGGCACCCTCCCTCTTCTCCCCCGGCCCCTGGTGGCCCCCGGAGCAGCTCTGAAGAACCCCGAGGGCTCCAAGAGCACTGATGGAAAACCGCTCATCTGGGCCGACCTCTCTGAGCAGACGTGGGAAACAAGCCCCGCAGGAGTCACGCTCTGATCTGCATCTGAATGCAAACCAGTTTTGTGAGTCCACGCTAACACTTCTCACTCAACTTTGCTTGAGCTAGATCCATGGAAAATTGCACTTTAAAGAAACAAGGCTCAAACCTGATCACCTACAGCATAATCCCTAAGAAATTTAAAAGCTCCTGAACGAGCCAAGTATGAAACAGAGCCCAGCCCCACAGACTGGCAGAGAGAAGTTGGGAAATGAGTTGCAGAAGCACAGCTGACAATTCCATATAGTTTCCTTCAGTTCCGTGGGACATAAACAGGTCTTGAAAGGCTCGGGCTGTGTGGCTGTGAGAGACCCTGGACCGGGCGGCCAGGAGGTGAACGCTAACGAGCTATGGAAAGAGCAATCACTTTCCCGTGTCGGCCCCGTGCCAGGCTAAGGGGGATAAAGAGGTCTGAGATAGTTTTCAAGTATTTTTACAGCAGAAAAACTTTCCTACAGACTCAATTATATAACTATCAGACTCCACCTCTGGGCTGAAATTACCCATGGCCTTCAGAAAAAAAAAAAATCCTTTTTCCTTACACGAGGGTCACAGGTTTCTCCAGAGAAACTCCTAGCTGTATGGCCAGCAACCGACAGCAGCTGCAGACCATCAGCCCAGAGACCTTCCCAGGGCAGCCTGGGGACTGCCAGGGAGGGGTGCCAGCCAAGCGGAGGGCAGGAGTCACGTCGCTGGCCCAGCCGTCGCACAGGATGACACAGGGGGCGGGAAGGTCCGCTCTGGGGGGCTCCAAACCCATCCACATCAGTGCCCTTACAACTTCCTCATCCCAAAACGGGCCAAGGGCACCGAAGGAGAGAGGAACATGTTGTTAACCCACAGTGGCCCTCTGTTGTTTGCACAGGGCAGACGTCTGAGAGAGCCTTCTGGGGCTGAAGGAATGAATAGCTTCACCGACAAAATGACAGCCACAATCAAAGGCACAGACTTAGGAAGGTTCACTTACAGCCCAGGTTTTTGTCAGCCTGAAGATGGGCGCACTTTGTAATGCTGACACCACAGACATGAGAGAATGAAGGTTGTTGAGTTCTAGAAGTTTCTGAAAAAAGATATGGAATAGATTATTTTGCTGCTATAAACAACAGAACAAAAACACGTTCAAGCATTACCAAATGTCATACTTATGAAACTCAATTACACTTAAAGTATCTCATGTAGAAAATATAGTTCTAGGAAGTTCACAGAAACCATATGCTCTTTTTCCTTCAAATTGTCAAAAGGTGAGTCTGCATCTACAACATTTGCGAAATTTCATAAGCTGACTAGTCTGGTTGCTGGACAGAAATGTGGCTCATAATAAGGTTTGATAATGTCCTCTATGTTCTTGTTTCCGGCAAATCTGAACTGTCCCGACAGGCTTTTGTAAACTGAAACCGCAGCTGCACCGACAATATCAGCGACAATATCAGTGCGGGTCTTCTGTGATTACCTTACAGCCGGAACGAGAAGGCGGAGGAAAGATGTTATCCGTCTCTGCATAATCCCCCTCAGCTGGGAGGACAGAGCTCTGGCTTCCCAACCACTTGACCATGCTCCTTCGAACCAGACCCCGAATTAGCGAGAACATTTGGATTCAATTCAGTCTCAGACAAGTTCCTTGCCATGGAGGGCAACAGAAGGAGACAGAGTCGAGGGTAAGAGCATAAAAATGTAAATGCTCTATCCTTGCTTTTACGCCGAGGGGAACCTGCTAACAGGACTGAGGTCCATTTTTCATTCTTGGGAGGCAGTGACGTTTGGGTTAGTAAGCAGGCTCCACGGAACTGAGAACTGGTTCCAGTCCCAGCTCCCGTACTTGTGTGTCCTTTGGCACAGGCCACTGCTTCTGAGCGCCACTTCCGAGCCTTGGCATCCTCATACTCACAACGAGGAAGGTAGCCGCGGCCCCTCTGCTACCTGGCACAGCTCCCGTAAACTGCCTAGACCTGTGCCTGACGCCAGGGCGGGCACTCAAGGTGATGTGGGTTGCTCACTCTTTGTTGGGAAGACTTGTCCCCCCGCACGTTCCCATCACTCATCTTGGGTATTTCTAAGCTCAGATGCTACTTCCTCTACTCTGTTTTTCCTGACCTCGTTCCCAAGTCCAGGCCGGCTGGGGACTCCCCTGCCAATCTGCTCCCACAACGGTCTGTGCATCTCCTTGGCACCCTGGACCATGCTTGCTTTCACTTGCCTACTGTGTGCTGTATTAGGCCCTCAATGGCAGACACGACTTTATCCCTGCCCTCAGGGAACGCACAGTAAGGCCTAGCAAACTGAACAAATAAAAGAAAAGCCCTTATGCTTAGTCTTCATGGCTCTGTTCCTATTTGGACATTTCTCCCTTACCACACAGTTCATACTTCATTTCACACATCTTGTAGCATTCTCTAATTGTTTCCTGTCGTGCAATAACAGATTTCTCTGCATGAACTGAATTTTATCCCATGTATCTGAATTGCTACACCTGTCACAGAATTTCTTTAGAGCTGAAGGTCCTAACCCACCCATTTTGTTGAATGGATGGCAAACGAAGGCCCAGAAAAAGGAGGGGCTTATACAAGAACATTCCAGGGCACAGTGCAGCATGGTGATCCACCATTAAAAGATGGCAGAGGCTAAAAGGGATCATTTTAGCTCCCCTGGGTGGAGACCATACACTCATTTCCAAACTGAAAGCACCAGGTAGACTGTAACCTAATCCCACTTTCTCATGTGGTCCAGCACAAACTCACTAACACCAACAAGTATTATTAAGCCCAGCCTGGTCCACATACATCAGAACACACAGGACATAAAAGTGTCTGTTGCCTGGAATGTATGTACTTTATAGATGGACGCCCTTAGCCATCCCATCGGCGGCAGGCAGGAGAGAAGCCCCCCTGAAAGCAGGGAGGCGCCCCCTGATTCTCTGGGGGGGGCCCTGGGCTACGGACACTCACCTCTGTAGGCCTCCCTTTCATCATTTGGAAACGGGATGATAATAATGTGAGCATCGAATGCAATCACTTTGGCAAGGCGCCTGCTACTGGGCCTGGTCATGGGGGCCTCCGTGAGGGCTAGCTGGCCTAGGGGCTGAGCAGGAAGACAGCGTGCGCACTCGACACAAGGCGTGAGCCAGAGCGAGCCGTGCTCTGCCGCGAGCCAGGCGCACCTGGTAGTGGGGAGCAGTGTAAGGGAGGAGTTGGCCGTGTGACTGGTGAGAGTGGTCCAGAAAGGCCCCTGGGGCCACAGCCTGGGCTGGCCAAGGTGAGGGAAGAGGAGGCCGAAGGTGGGATGCAGACGTGAGGCTGGTACCCAACAACTGATGAAGACAGAACTCATCAGGCCCAGGGGCAGGGGCTGGGAGGGGGGGCCACAGGGTCATCCGGCCCAGGTCTTAAGCTCAGAATGGGAGAGGTGAGCTTCACTGACTGGGGACAAAGTTGCGCAGGATGTGATGGCACCACAAACATCAATGCTACCTCAAACCCATCAGCCCCAGCACTCGCCAAATCTGAAGTGGGAGGGTGAACAGCTACCCCTGGGGCCTCATGGAGGGTGTGAAAGGCGAAGCGGAACAGCTGGCCGCCAAAACGCGGGGCGGAGAGGCTTGCTGCCAGGGCACACGTGGGGGCTGCGGGCCCGCGCGGGCAGCCAGGCCGCTCTCACAGCTGCCTGCGTCTGCGCCAGTCAGGCCACAGCCCCCTGTTTGAACCCTGCCCAGCAGGCCCAGAGCAAAGCTGCTCCCAAATGATGGAGGAAACACATTTTTGGGACAAAGAAAGGAAAGGAGGGGGAGGAAAAAAACCAGCTTACCTTGGCTATTTTCACAAAATGGCTCAGGATTTCTGCCCTTATTTTTAAAGTCTGTGCTGTTAGAATTTCTCTTACGACCCAAAAACTGACCTGTGGAGTCAAATACACAGACACAGACAGACACAGACACACACCAAAGAAGCTATTAAGTGCCAGGCCACCGATGTCACCCTTCCCCACCACTTAATGGGATTTCCAAGAGGCTAGGAGGCTGGGAGAGCACAGCCGAGGGTTGTGCGAGATTGAAGGCCCCTTTATGACACCAGCTCAGCCAACGTGTCCCCTGTTCCCATCACCACCTCCCCAACGCACACAGTGGGGCTGTGAGAAATGAGTGCTTTCATCGTCCTCCCAGGGAGTCACTGGGCCGCCCCGACATGTGAGTCTCTCTCAAAGCACTGCAGGGAATTTTGAGATGAATCAGACAGGACTCCTACTCAGAAGGATTCCAGCTATGGGAAGACCATAGGTGGGTGGATAGGTGGATGGACAATGGACAGGTGGAGAGTGGCCAGAGGGATATGCGTACTGGCAGTACCACCCACGATATCCATCTCCCCAGCCAGACGTAAGACAAGAAGAATTTACCAATATTTGTGCAATGTTAACAAGTTTAATCTTCTAGGATAGGGTCACCCAAACACTAATTTAAATGTAATTATTTCAAAGTTCCATAAAGGAAGGCAGGTTAAGGATATTCTAGAGTTAACAAAGCTCGTTTACTGCTGCAACAAAATGTATTCTTGCTACTCAAGTGCTGTCATTTTTCAATGAGAAAACAAGGAAAACGTAACCAAGAGTCAAAACTTCGCTTTTCCCATGAATCAGGAATATTATAGAGAAGTTTTCTCTACATAATTATCTGTGGTTGCCTCCAGGATAGGCCCCGGTTTCCATAGAATCATTTTTTCCAAGGAACTGCCTAAAATTAAGTTCAGACTCAAATGTTTAATAGGTAGTTATGGGAGAAAGGTATTCTGGATACAGTGATATGACCATAAACCATATATTTTAATACATGTACCTTTTTATGCCACATAAGCTCAAGTGTGATCATTTATGTGTACTGTATAATTTAATAGGTTCCTGCATGCCAAAAAGTCACACATATTAAAGGCATAATTGTGGAACATGGCAGAGCTGACTCTGATCTATAGCATGCGGTATGAGGAGGCACCGTGGGTCAGTTCCATCCAGCGGACTTGCGCGAGGCCCTCACTGTGCGCAGGCTGCAGGCGCTGCTGAGTCCAGACCCCAACGGTGCTTGCCCGACAGGAAGGTGACCGAAGGGAGGAGGCGGGACCCTCGAGAAATCACTGTATTAAAAAGCAGCCAGTGATCATGGTCTGCCCTGGAGTATGCGGGAGGCGATGACAGAGGCAGGTTTCTTGGAGGAGGCAGGCCTTGGGGGATGGGTAGGCTTTGAACAGGTAAAGGCAGCACTGGGGTGTGGCTGTAAACACTAAGACCAGGGAGACTGAAGAGGCTGGCAGGGCTGCTGTGGCAGGGGCTCTGTGGGCTGGGGGTAGTGAGGGAGGTTAAAAAGGGCCGTGAAAGCCCAGTTGTGGGCGTCTGGAGCAACGAAGTCATAAGAAGATCATTCACATGGGGAGAGTCCCAGAGGCTTCTGAGCAGAAGAATGACAGGCTAGATCCCTTGTAGGGACACGCAGCGGGGAGCTGGTGCAAGGGTCCACAGGAGAGAAGGGAGGCCTGAACTAGGGCCATGCTGAAGCAGATGGAGAGAAGGGGCAGATAAGAAAGACACTGCAAAGGTAGGATGAGCAGTTTTAAATATTTTAAATTCTCTTTTCTAACTAAAATCTAAGAGAAGCTTAATGCAGAAAACAAGAGAAAGAGATAAGCACAAAAGACAAATCACGTGCAACTTCATTTGCACATACAGACCACTGTGATAAACATTGTGGGATGTGTTCTTCTAGTCTTTTTTCCATATGAAGAGCTTACATTTCTATTTTTCAACTAAACTGGTACATATTAATCATACTGTCACAAGAATTTTTATGAGTGAATAAATATTCTTCTAGTATATAATTTTTAGCAGCTGCTAAGTATTTCATCTTAGGGATATATAACCATTAAGTAACCCCCTATTGTTGGGTTGCTATTTATTTTGTTGCTGTAGTGAAAATATTTATACATGTATCTTTACAGTTTTAATTAAGGTTTTAGAATAAATTCCTGTAAGACAGAGTAAATAAGAGTATGTGTACCCTTTTTTCAAAAGTATATATAAAAAACTTGGCCTCTAAAAGGTCTATTTGTTTATCTATCATCAAGTTTGAGCAGATCCATGTTCCCACACATGGGCAAATATACCAGCTATTACAACTCCTTTCTTCTTTACTAAACTCAGGCATAAGAAAATGTCTCACTGTTTCTATTTTGCATTTCTTTCATGACTACTCAGTTAACTTTTTTTGCACTTTTTTCAGGGTTTTTTTTTTTTTTTTGGTTACAAATATTTATAGGCCACTTATACTATTTGCCTTGCGAATTACCTGCTCAGGTCCTTCACCCATCTTTCTATTGGGACATCTGCCCTCTTACTATTGATTAGTAAATGGCCTCTGTATATTAAAGAAAATACATTAACCCTTTGTGAGTCATATATTGTACCAAAAGTGTGGAGAGGTTGGTACTTTTATACGCTGTTTTGGGAAATATAAGTTCACAGGAACATTTTGAAGAACAATGAATATATCTTTCAAGATGATAAGGTTATATTCTCCCTAGAATATTTACCTTATGAATATATAAAAATTTAGAGGGATAGATGTACAAAGATTCATGAAGTACTATTTATAAAGCAAAAGAAGAGAAAAAACAAAATGTCCATCAATAAGGAACTGGTTACATAAATAATACTTTAACCTCAAACTTTTCAAGGAAGTCAATAGACAGGAAAGTGGGCAACTGTGCTCCACCTTCTAGAAGGCAAAATATCTACATAAATTATTTGGAATTCTTCTGCATAGAAGGTTTGCCTTGTCTCCTCCATTCATTTATTCAATCACTTATATCAGAAGGGACTCACATATACTTATTTTATACTTTGAGTTATAATCCAATACCACGTTATTTATTTTGTTGCTCAAGTTGTTCCAGCTTTGGCCACTGAGACTCTTTCAGTTGGTTCCCTTGTCCCTTCCCTTTGACATAGCCCCAGCACTGTTTTGGTTTGTTGGCTTGTTTGAGCATTTCCTTAACTTTCTGGCACTATAAGATGTACAGGCTCATCTTACATTTCTTGCCCCAGTCCTAAACTTGCCTGGGTTCCTTTTAGTAATCAATAGCATTAGAAACCAAATACCTAACTGTACAATTACTGGGTTGTATCTGTACAGTTTTGCATTCCCACCAGCAATGAATGAGAGTTTGCGTTGTTGTAGGAATTTGTTAGTAACTGGTACTTTATCAGGGTTTTTTTTTTTTCCTGTATTTTTAGCCATTTTAATAGGTATGTAGTGTTTTGCATTTTCCCAATGACAAATGATGTTGAGCATCTTTTCACTTTTATTTGTCATCTGCACATTTTCTTCGGTGAAGTGTCCAGATCTTTTGCCCATTTTTTAATTGGGTTGTTTCTTATTGTTGAATTTTTGGAGTATATTTTGGATACGAGGCTTTTATCAGATATGTGTTTTGCAAATAGTGTTCCCAGTCTATGCTTAGTCTCTTTAGTCTCTTAGCAGTGTCTTTTGCAGAGTGGAAAATTTTAATTTTAATGAAGTCCAACTTTTCAAGTTTTTCTTTCATGGGTTGTACCTATGGTATTATATCTAATAACCTATCACCAAAGATCACATAGATTTTCTTCTATGTTTTTTCCTAGAAGTTTTATAGTTTTGACTTTTACATTTAGGTCTATGATCCATTTTGAGTTAATTTTTATGAAAGGTCTAGAGTCTGTGTCTAGGCTAATATTTTTTATATGTGCAAAAAATTCCAATTAATTATTCCAGCATCACTTGTTGAGAAATCACCCTTTCTCCATTCAAGGTCCTCATGCATTTGTCAAAGACCAGGTAACTAGCTCTAACTGGCAATGGCTCAGCGGGTTGGGTGTCATCCCGCAAAATGAGAGGTCACTGGTTCCATTCCTGGTCAGGGCACATGCCTGGGTTGTGGGACAGGTCCCTGACTGGGGGCATGAGAGAGGCAACCAATGGATGTTTCTCTCACACATGGATGTTTCTCTCCCTCTTTCTCCCTCCTTTTCTCTCTCTAAAATAAATAAAACCTTTTAAAAAAGACGACGTGACTATGTTTGTGTGGGTTTATTCTGTTCCATTGTTCTAGATGTCTAGTCTTTGGTCAATACCATGCTTCTTGATTACTATAGCTTCATTGTCAGTCTTGAGATCAGGTAGAGTGAGTCCTCTGACTTTGTTCTTTTTCAGTATTGTTTTGGTAATTCTATGTCTTTAGCTTATCCATATAAACTTTCAAATCAGTTTATTGATATTTATAAAATAGCTTTCTGAGATTAACTGATATCTTAATAATGAATCTTCTAATCCCTGAAGATAGAATATAACTCTATGAATTTCCATCTACTTTGAGTTTTTGCATCTGTATTTTATAGTTTTCTGCATATAGAACCTCTACATACTTGTTAGTTTTACACCTAGATACTCCTTTGTGTGTGTGTGCGCATGTTATTGAAAATTGTTTTTAAATTTATGATTCCAATTCTTCATTGCTGGTATAGGAAAGCTTTTGTATATTGATCTTGTAAACTGCAACCTTGGTATACTATACTCACTTATTAGTTCCATGAGTTTATTTTTAAATAGATTTGAGATTTTCTACATAGACAGTCATGCCATCTGTACATAAAGACAGTTTTATTTCTTTCTTTTCAATCTGTATATCTTTTGTTTCTTGTCTTATTGCATTGGTCAGGACTTCCAATATAACGTTGAATGGAAGTGGTAACAGAGCATATCTTTGCCTTGTTCCCACTCTTCGGGGGAGAACACCTAGTGTCTCATCATTCAGTGTAACATTGGCTACAAAATTTTTGTAGATTGAAAATTTTATTAAGTTGAAAAGTTCCCCTAGATTCCTAATTTGCTGAGATTTTCTTTTTGTCATGAAGGGGTATCGAATTTTGTCAATATTTTTTTGAATCAATTGGTATAAATATATGACTACTTCTTTCGCCTACAAATACAATGGATTACATTAGCTGATTTTCAACTGTTGAACCAGTTATGCATACCTGGAATAAACACCACTTGGTCATAGTGCTAATAAGCTTTTAAAACACACAAGCTATTATTATCCCTATTATTGTTCCAGTGGTATAATTAGATAGTTTTGTCCCTGAAGACTAAGATTTCCCCTGGGAAATTTCACAACAGTATTATAGATGAATAAAGCAGAATAGCTATGAACACAAAGAATTTCAATCAACCAGAAAGAAAATAATCAAAGCATAAAATAAAGAAAAAATCAGGTTAAAAAAATTGTCTTTTCCTATGAGAAATCTATTTTGCCATAAATTTCTCCTAAGTCCATTCACATTTTCCTTAGAAACCTGGAGTTAGAAACCTGGGGGACTTCAAAGCCCCACCCTACTCCTCAGCCCCTCCCCACAGTGATGTTTTACAGTCACTGTGGTAAAGCCCTGCCTGGTCTCTGCCTCAGCTTTCACAGGAAGGGAGCTACCTCGTATTAGGGTGAAGCAACTGCCTCCCCACTCCTACCCCCTGGTCCTTGCACTTACGGATTAGGCCCCACAGGTTAAACTTACTCAGCTTCCCCATAAGAACCTCTCAGTTACTTGAAAACCCTTGATTATGTCCTCCCTGAGTGTTTTCAACCCTAGGTCCCTCACCTGACCTTATATAACAAAACGTTCTTTCCCCTCACCCAGGGGCCATGCTGACATTGACATGCCGCTCCTGTGTGACAATCCCCCCTGCTCTTCCTGTGAGGTACCCAGGAGTGGCTGGATAAAGCAAAGGAAAATGGGATTACCACACACCATTAGAGTGGATTAAATAAGGAAATAAATACAGGTGTAAAGCCCTAACACTAACTGCCGGCAAAGATCTGAGGCAACACAAATGCTCATTTGTTGCTTGTGATAATGCACAAAGGTGCTGACACAGTCCAGTAATTGTGCTCCTAGGTATTTACCCAGCTCCCTTGAAATCTTACGGAGAGAGAGACAGACAGAGACACACACACACACACACACACACACACACACACACACAACATGCATTTGTTTATAGCAGTTTTATTGATAATCATCAAAAGCTGGAAGTAAATAAGACATCCTTCAATAGGTGAATAAAACTGCTATAAACAAATGCAATATCCATACAATGGAATAGCATTCATACAATGAATAACTGCCATATCCATACAATGGAATAGCATTCATTAAAAAAAAGACATCAAGCCATATACAGACATGGATGAATCTTAAATGGATATTGCTAAGTGAAAGAGCTAGTCTGAGAAGGCTCTTTATATATGATCCTTCCTCTCCCTTTTCTGAGATCTGAACAGGGTAAAAAAACAATTGAAATGATAAACAGCTCAGGATCTGATCCACTCCATACAAAACCCTGCCTTCGTCCTTGGGCAACTTCAGCATCACTGTGAATGACCACAGCCTCAAGGTCACTTTACCACTTCAGCAACGATTACCCACCTACCACTTCAGTCACCTCCTCCTCCTAACTATCCAGAACTGCTCTGCACCAGAGACTTTAAATTCCAGTCTTGGGCCACAACCTTTCAACTTTCTGGTTCTTACCTTGTCCTTAAGCCCCCACCGTGCCTGTCCTTCCTTCTCACCACTCCCTGGAGCCCCGTTCTTAGTCCTTCAAAAAAGTCAGCTTTGCTAGGCTCCCACTGGGGATGGACCCTAAAATTTGCCCTTCGTATGTCCTTACTCCCAGCCTGCAAAGTGCAACTACAGAAAACGCTCTACCTTCAGGCACTGGGGCCACTTTCAAAGTCACAACCTCTGTTTCATCTGGGCCATCGTTTCTGCCCAAGAATCTTTCTATATTTCCATAGTCAGCTCTCCTTTCCACTGGAGTGCCTTTTTCATTTCATTTTCATAACAACCGTGCAAGGTGAGTACTGTTACTATTATAGATAAGGAAACTGAGGCTCAGAAAAGGTAAGTGACCTGCTTTCCTTTATCTGGAGTCTGGTGGGGAGGCTTGTTCTCACATATGGAAGTCTGCCAGGAGAGGATGCCAATCAGTTTATCTCAGAGAACGCAGTCCGGGTGGCTGACCAGACCTGGCCGCTGGCCAGTTTTCAAACCGGAGGTACCAGGACTATGTCCAAGAGCTACGCACTCTGTGTAGCTGACAGGCCGGCAGGAAGACCAACTCTCTGAGCATCATTTGGGGAAATGCAAATTCATTCTGGCTCGCTTTATGGGTCTGATCTGGACACAATGCAGTTGTTCGCGGAACAAGCCACACTGCCCTTTGCCAAGCTGACCTGGCCTCTGCGTGCAAAGCAGATGACATCAGGGCCCCCAGTGGCCTCCTCCGGGAGCCCGGCGGCCAGTCAGAGGTGGAGTGGAACTGGCTCCTGGTCAGACAGTTTTGCTAAGGAAACTATGAATCCCTTGATAGTGTGTGTGCACTTTTTTTTTTTTTTTAAGACTAAGCTTAGTTGAAAAGGAAAATATTTTGAAAACAAAGAAAAAGGCTTCAGAACTTCCTTTTTCAAAAACAAATGGTGTACAGTCCCTGCCGCAGATGTATCCAGGACTCTCTTAGTTCCTATTATAGCTCATAAAATAACAGTAATGTTAACTCCAGCTTTGGTCTTAGGACTACAAGCTGGTGTCCCTCTGAGGCCCCTGCTATACTCGGGCTACAGCCGAGGCTGGGGAAGCCTGGAGAGGACTGAGCAATGGTGATGCACCGGACCCAGCATTTCAGAGAGGGAACGCCCAGCTGGAGGGAAGGGCCAAAGGAAGCCCAGGCCCATCACCCAGAGGTCCAGTCATGCACACTGTGCAACCTCTAGGCCACTGCCCTCATTTGAAACTAGAAAAACAGCAGAAAGGAAGAAAACTGTCAACAACACCATTTTGGGGTTTGGTCTATCCCAAGGGAGTCTTACAGGGTGTTTTTTACTGAAGATCATGTTCTGGGAGATCTAACAGAGCAATCAGAAGCCACCCCCTTTAGCTGGTTCAAGTCTCCATTGTCATTCCATAAGTAGGGATGCAGATCTCCATACGTGGACAAAGGGTCCTTCCTATCAAGTCGGCCTGTAGTAGCACATAGGAGGCCACTGACCATGCCATCAGGAATTCGAAGAAATTCCATTGAAGGAATATTTCCTGAGCACCTCATTCATTCATTCCGCATATATTTACTGAGGACCCATTACATGCCTGACATTGGGCAAAGTGATGGGGGATGCGGTGACGAACAAGGGAGACATGGTTCCTGCCCTCGTGGAGCCCACAGACTGGCAAAGAAGATGGAGACTACAGAGTTACCCAGCAGGAGGACAGATAAGGAAAGGGCCACAGGAAGAGGCACTGGTGCAGCCAGGGAAGGCACGATGGGGAGATCTTACACAGGCTGGGGATTCACGGAAGGCTCCCCCAGCAAGTGACCTTCGGGCTGAGATCTGTCTGGAGGCTGAACAGGGAGGAGGAATTCTGAGCTGAGATCTATGAAATGTATAGAAGCCTGACAGGGCAGAAATACGGTGCATCAGGAAAGAGAAGGCAGGCCAGGGTGGCTGCAGACCAGGTCCACCATGCAGGACCCTGCCGGGCAACGAAAGTGCTTGAACCTTAGCTTAGGTGGAATTGGAAGCCACTGGAGCAATTTAAACGCGGGAAAGACGTGTTCAGCTCCACCTGCAGTGTGATGAAAAGGCCTGTGATGCCCAAGAATGGGTGATGGTCGGGGGGAGTTCAGGAAGATGGGTCCGGACCTGAACCGGACCTGGGGCCAGGTGCCTGGGATTGAACCCTGGCAGGGCTCCCAGCCTACCGGGGACAACACTGCCATCTGGGCAGGCACATGCAAGGGTTGCTTACCTGGTTAAACCTCCGGGTAAAGGCCACAACGTTTGGGGCAAGACTATGTTTCTCCTTCTTACTCCATCCACAGCTGGCTAGTTCCTAGGAAGCAAAGAGTCAATTTCAACAGTGATTCTAATCGGGATGCAAACACGCCAGGGGCATCTAATTGGAACGTGGACATGAAAGTGGGAAACAGCTGAGCCTTGGCCATCCACAGCTTCACCAGGGTGAGAAGATGCTCCTCCTCTGGAGAGGAAGTCTAGGTGAGGCGCTTCCTGGGACCCCTAGAGGTGAGGAGAAGTGGCCCGCTGCCGTTTCCAGGACTTCTGTGCCAAAATATTCTTAATCCCACTGCTGCTACTCTGCTAGTTTCTCTGGGACCTTCTTGATGCAAACTGTCTGAGAGAGCACATAGTGTTTTTAATTTTTTTTATTTTGTTTTATCCTCACTTGAGGACACTTTTTCCTGGCTTTTAGAGAGAGAGGAAGGAAGAGAAACATTGATGTAAGAGAGAAGCACTGATTGGTTGTTTCCATTATGCACCCAGACTGGGAATTGCATGTGACCAAACCAGAGATTGTACACATTTGGACTCGGGATATGTGCCCAGATGGTGAACCAAACCTGCAACCCAGGCACGTGCCCTGACCAGGAATCGAACCAGCAACCCTTCAGCTACAGGACAACGCTCTAACCAACTGAGCCACATCAGTCAGGGGAGGACGTAATGTTTTAACTGGTAGGATCCATCCCCCACAGGCAAACTTAAAATTAAGATCTGGCTGGAGAATCTCAGATTTCATCAGCTACATGACATCCTCCATTCCTGGAGTCAAGGAAAGCCCAATCCAAGTCTACTGCAATCACAGAAGCTTCTGGGATGACCTCAGACTCCTTCCTGAAGCTGGACCCTCCCATCTCTCATGTAACCAAAAGGGGACAGAAGGAGAGGTTCCCTTTAATATCTCCTTCGGGGGATGTGTTCTCTTCTTTTCCAGCAGGTTTAGCACTATAATCTGATCAAATTACCTAAATTTTACCTATCAGTGAGACTGACCGCCATCCAAGGGAGACAGCAGGAGCAATCTAATAGGGTTCCTTTGGGGGCTATATACAAGGGCCAAGGAAAAGCCACCACCCAAATGCGCAGCATTCTCAGCTTGCGCCCAGGGGACCCTGGCAGAGAATGGAGATTCTATAGTTCTCTACCCCTCAGCTACAAGACCTTCTTTTAATTATTATCAGTCCTCGGTATTACTCATAACATCATTTTGCCACACACCTGGAACTTTGATAAGATCCTTAGTGAGAGCCAGCTGCCCACCAGCTGGGACAGACCCAGATCAGGTCTACCAGGGAGTCAGGGAGGTCAGCAGGAATGACCTGAGATGAAACTTGCTGGCTGAGCAGCTACACCTCTAAAGCGCTGGGCCCTTCACCTGCATCCCAGGACCCAACCACAGACCACAGACGGGCACCTGTGGGGAGCCTGGCTGACGGCAGCGGACGGCTCTGGACAAGAGACGAAAGGCCTGCCCGGCCTTGCGAATGGCTGTGGCCCAGCCAGGAGCTAAGCAACCCAGCACCTCTCCCCGGCCGCCTCACCTCTGTAAATGGGGTCATCACCCTGCCCGCCACCCACACGAGAAAACATCGCCATCCATGACCCGGCCAAGTCCTCCACACCCTCATTACTTAGACCTGGAGCAAGAGTAATGGCAGGGGTATTGCCTGGTGCTACCATTCACCGAGAACCCCCCGTGCCAGCACTGGACGAGGCACTGCCCATGTGACCTCGTCCAATTCCCAGCAAGTCCACTTTAGCGAAGAGGAAAGGGCTCCCTATCATTTGTCCTTTTGAGTCAATACTTTACTCTTTTTCAAAAGTACGCAGGAATTTGAGATGTAGAGTTCACCTGGGTACCATGATTCTCCTCGTTCTGAAAATGTACATTTCAATCTCTTTTGAAACGTATACTTGACTTACCTGAGTTACATTTGCTTTTCCCACTCCGTTCCACTTTTTCACCTATCTTAATTGATTTGCAGATGTATATTATTGCCCTTTCATAGTTTAATCGTGAGGACAAGAGCCTTTCTCCCCTGTGAATCTCAAAGCCAGTCCCGGAAAGGTGTGGCTTATAATTAGATATAAAAGAGAATTCATGAAGCTGATTTTAAAGGGCTGAGGCCTGGTTGTGGCCTCACTTCTGGCTGAATAGTTGTTTCCTTTGGTTTTTTCCCCCCCTGAATTCTTTAATAAACAGCCAAAATTATATACATATATATGTGTGTGCGCACGTGTGTGTCGGGGCGGGGGGCGTTTAATTGAGTCTGCAGTTTCGCTGCACGCCGTCAGTAACTTAGGAAGGCACCCTGAAACGGAGCAGCGCGGACCTTCCTGCGAGACCGGGTCAGACCCCGGCCTCCACCCACCGCCTGCATGGGGTGCAGGTCCTCAGAACCTCCATTTTCTCATCATGACAATTAAATGGGATTAAGACACATGGAGAGCCCAGCAGCCGATGAACATGTGATGGGTCTATCTCCCGCCTCTTTCCAGGGCCGAGCTGCCGCCAGAGTCGCCTCTAACTCCCGACACCCCTGCTTTCTCCCACACCACACTCTTGTTGCTGTCTTGAACTATTTAAAAATCTATTATTATTTCTCTTCCATTTTGCTGATGTCATGCAGGCAGGAACCAAAGCACATAGTTAATACATCTGCCCTGAATTTATTTGATTTGAACAGTTCTAAGACACTGACTCAAAAACCGTATGTGCAGTTCCTCGGTTTTGACAATTCTCTAAGCAACATTTTGCACCAGAAGACACATAATATTTAAAATTAAAACCCCAGCAGAGTAGAACTTTGTTGAAGAGGTTCCTTGGTAAAATGGAGCAAAGGACTTAGAGCCAAAGGCCTCGCTCCATATCCCAGCCCTGTCACTTATTTCCTGGGCAACCTCAGGTGAGCCAACCTCTCTCGGCACCAGTTTCATCACTGACGAAAACGCGGATGCTGACGCTGGCTCCACGGAGTGACAGCAGAGGCCAAAAGAGAGCCTGACCGATGCGGGGTTGGGGGGTGTGTGCGCCTGCAGGGCCGAGGCCTGGCTCGCTGCAGAGGCCAGGCTGCATCTGCTGAACGAATGGCATACGAGCGTTCCTCAGCATTGAAATCTCCCAAATTCAGCGTAGAAAGATTTATCAAGATGTCAAAAGAAATCAGGCCATTCTATCTACTAAAACAAGCCCTCAGCCCCGCCTCCTTGGCACTGCTCCTCTTCTGTGTTGGCCTTATAGGGTTACAAGAGATTCCATCTGTGTGAAGTGGGTTTGGAAAATGTGAGGTAATAGAACAAAACTCTTCCAGTCACTAATGCCTGAAAAAGGTCCATGCTATGGAATTGGTTTCAGTGTAATTTAAGTTAAAATTGACCAGCGGAGACACGGCTGGTTCTAGAAGGGAGACAGGGTTTGGGCTGAAGCTGCTAAGACCCTGGGAGCCCTGGGTCCCTGAGGAGCCCTCAGCTGCCCCTGGGCCGCAGGGGAGGAAGGCGGGTGATGCCGCCCCGGCTGTCCCGGACCCTGACTCCAAGTTCTCTGCTGAGGCCAACAGGACGCGAAAGGAGAGTGGAGCCCGGACAGAGAGGCCTTTGCCAGCTGCCTCTGGGGCCTCTCCTCTGCTATGAGGATGTCTCCCAGGTTCGTCAGGGAGAAAAAAGATGTCAGAAGAACATGTTCTGCCACTAAACATACAAACATACCTTCCTCTGGCTTCAGTAGAAGGGAGGCTCCTTCTCCCAGGGCCCACTCTCATCCTCGGCTCTGGGTCCCACCCCCTCCCCTGGCTTAGAGGGTCTGATGCCCTCTTTCCTTCCTGGATCTTCACCCTCTCCCTCTCCAATTCTTCCCACTAGCATCTTAATGTGCATAAGGCTCTCCCATCAATAATAATCATGGTGATGATAATTATAACAACAATAGTAATAATAAAAGACATCTTTTCCAGACCTCCCCCCTCCTCCAGCTCCTGCTCACTCTCTTTCTCCCCCTCGCGAATGGCTTTCCTAAGAGGGCTGTCAGCTCTCGCTGCTCCCCCACTTCGGTCTCCGCCCTTCCCCAGCCCCGGCCCCACTGAAGCTGCCCCTTCCCTACCAGCGACAGCTCCCTGGCGAGGCAACCCCCTGCCGTGCTTCTCTCTCCATCCTCGCCCTTCCGCCCCATGTTCTGCTGGTCATCTCTCACCTCTCAGGCCCCCCCATTCTCAGTCTTCTTTTCCAGTTGCGTTTTTCTTTTCTGACACGTGCCTCCCACCCCCACCTAAAGCTGTCCAGGGTCGTCTTCAATATTCTTCCGTGACTGTGTCCCCCTGCCCGGAAGATGACACATACTGCCATGGCTTCAACCACAGGTCTCTTTTCAGCCCCAGCTCCTCTCCTGAGTGCCAGCCAAGGGTATGCAGCCTCCTCCTGGCCACCCTTTCCCGGGCATCCCACAGGCACCTCAACGTCGGCAGGCCCAGACCGAGAGGGTGTCTGACCAGCTGCCTTGCATAAAAAACACACAACAATGTGAGATTCATTTAGACATCCATTCTGACATCAAAGGAGAATGTTTATTACAAAGAAACTGTCTACGGAAAAAAAATCCCTAACTGATATATAAAAACAATTTTGTCTTCACGCCCTGTCTGCAAGCATTCCTCGGTGACAGCGAGAGTCAACGCTGGCTCTGCGCACCCGCACAGCTCTCCTGGGCCACACTGCCAGGAGTGTCCCCTCTGGCTGCCAGCTTTGGGCTTAGGGGTCCAGGAATCAGCTGTCCTGAAGTGGCCCGAGGAAGGCCTGCCCCGACCCTGTCTGGGGTCAGTGAGGTAAGGCCCTGGAAGAGGAGACCTGGGGGGCAGGGCAAGTCCTCCCTAAAGACCCCCACAGGATCTAGGCTCCCGGGCCATAGGCAGCTGGTGCCTACACACAGCGCTTCTATACACGTGCTTAATTCTAACTGCAATCTTCTCCAGATTGCATGCTTAAAATGTGCCCACGTGGAAAATGCACCACCTCAAAGAAGGTCTCCAAATCTGACCTCGGGGA